TTTTAAGGTTCAGAAACGTATATAAAAATTGGGTTCTGAAATGGTCATTTTTCCCCTCTGCTATGCCATTATAGCGATCAGCCAAGCTTCTGCAAGGTAAATACTTTTGGAAAATAAGTGGAAATTTGCTGCAAATCAGTCCCTTTTGTGCATGGCCACAGGAGCATGTTGAAATGTTTGGACACTAATACCCATTCATTTTCTTGGCTCCATAAATAAAAGCCGCCAGCTATGTGGCGGCCGTGAAATGGTATTCTTCAGGACCCAGCAGGAAGCCCCATCCTTATTACCACTGCAGGGGGCAGGACAGGCCCAAAATAGCAAGACAACTAAATCAAGACATTTTCAATGTCTAACAAAATGACTGTGGTTTAGAGAGAAGCAAAAGGTTGGAAAAAATTGGACGGCTTTTATACTTAGCATAATACCTTTGTTAAAAGAGTTCAGATAAGAAAATCAGATCTTAAAAAAAAAATAATAAAAGGCGTAAGCATATTTCTGAATATCATTTAAAATATATGAAGATCTTATGGAATCATAGACAGAGCACAGTGCTCTCTGAAAGGACATCCTGCTCAAGTCATATTTTCCAAGTGGTAGCCCATGCTTCATAGTAAATAAGGTCTTCTGGCAATATCGTAGTGTTTCGATGGAGCCAAAAGGTTTGAAAAGAGATATTGGAAATTTGTCAGTAAAATTTGAAATCTTTTTTGGTCCACAAAAATTACAGACAATAACTATAAGGAGAAAAGGTTTTGGACTAAACCCTTGGTTTTTTTCTACAGGTTTATTTAATTTTTATGGGTTTCCTACAGCAGGCAATATGATTCTAGATTTTGTAATAAAAACATACTGAAGTCCTTCAGTCAAAATAAATATGTTAGTGTAACTTGCTGTTTTACATAGCTGAACTGTGCTTAAAGTAGTTTTAAAAACTGAGCTTCAGGTAAATGGGATATTTTAAGTGTATAAAGAACAATTCAGGGGATAGATACCATCTTGCTTAAGATAATGAAAGATCAGACTGTTGAGGTTTTAATGAATTCACAGTACACTGGTGTTTGCCAAAATCAGTGTGCCATTCTCGCCACTAAAATACATATGGAGGAGATGTTAGTTTTATTTTAATTTTATTCATTTGTGATTCTGATTATAAATTTGCTTAAACTAAATTGAAGTAAGGATATGCCTTACACATTCACATTTCCATGAAGTATATATATATGTATATATATATATATGTGGGCATATATCTATAAATTTGTACTTACACACACAAGTTGCCACACAGTTTTAGGAATTGAAACAGTTGGAATGTCTTGTTACAGAAGGAAATATTCAGCTTTAGTTTCAAGAAAAAATAACCATTTTACCTTAACATTAAATTTACTTGCACTGCAAAGGAGAAATTACTAAGGTGCAAAATGTCAGAGAAAAATGAATTCAGTGTATTACTGAGTATTGCCTTGTAGACAGGCAAGGGTTTTTGATAATAAAAATAAAGCTGAAAATGAAAAGGGGGAACCACAGTGCCGGTTCAGTGATGTTTCAGTCTTCCCTGGGACTTGAGACTACCATCAGGCTCAAACTCCCTGGCCATTCCAACTTTTTAATGTTGGCTGTCCTAGCTTACTCTGGAGCAAGCCAGATTGTCCAGGGAAGTTTGTATACATGAAAGGAGTGGCTCATATTCGATTCTTTCCTTATAGACATAAGAGAGGGAATGGAATGGCCCAAGAAACTCAAGTCTGAAGAGTAAGGCAACACAGCCATGATCCATGCAAGAAACAGGCTGCATGGTCATGTGCAAAGGATCCAGACCACCTATCATTATGCTTAGACATATAGGATACAGCTCATGCATTCTGAGCTGGCTGATATAAATAAGGCCCCAAAATTAGGAGAAATGAAGTCTATTTATTGGCTGTCTTTTCTGCAGTAATTGAAAGAAGCATTTCAGGGACCATCCTGGTTGTACCTGGTAAAGACATAAGGAGGTTCCAAAGATGTCATTAAGTATGTGAAACGCAGTTCGGTTCATCTCCATCCTGTAAAGATCTCAGTATCATTTTGTTTCACCTCCTGCCTACACGGCACAGGTTTTATAGAAGGGGCAAGTTGTGCATCCAGAGTGGAGGTGACCATAAACATAATCCTCATGCATTCGAGCAAGGGCAGCCTTGAGCTTCCCATTACACCAGTAACTTAAGACACACCTTTGGGGCACTGACGGTGACCCAGATACATAAGGCTGCTTCCTACCCAGCTGTACTGCTCACCTTCCTGACCTCCTACTCTGAAAAATCCAAGGATCGGCCTACAAAGGAAACTGTAGCAAAGGATACATTGGTGTCAGGTCTATCATTATCATAATTGGTGCTACTGAAGTAATTCAGACATTAAGCCTGTAATCTCCTCTGCTGTTTGTATCTGCTTCATTTAAAAGTTACAAGGCCAAAAATTCATTGAAACCAGTGGAGATTCGCCTCTTCACTTATTTCCATTTTGGCCCACTGAGTGCATGAAAAACCTTGCCAAATTCTTTGGAAGCTTGTATTTGCAATATGACTTCCAAAATAATTAACCCTGAAAGCAGGATTTAACAAACTCACGTTTGATACGTGGAAGGAATAATACCTGAAACATCTTTCTTGTGCTCAGCCTTTTATGACTCAGACTTTAATGATTGCAATAAACATTAGCTTACCTAATAAAAACTCTACTATTTCAGAGCTGGCTCACAGTGTGTTAACTGCATCTGGTGTCAACTGGAGCTAATTAATATTTTTATAGGTGTCTTCTCCCCACTGTAGTTTAAACGAAAATATTGTGGGGTGCTTACATCAAAGCTGGAGGCAGTCGAGAGCCGCTGCTTGCTTCCCAGGCTGAACTGATAGCAAGTAGACCAATTTTTATAGGATTGTAAAAGCTGACTGTGGCTGGGGTTCATGCAGAGAAGCACTTTTCCCTGTAGCTCTCACAATTCAGCACTAATGCTCGTGGCTTGTTTGCTGTGAGGTGGCTGGTGAGGTAGACGGAGGGACAGCGGACAGATAAACTGGCAAATAGTTCTGCCTATACTTAGACAAAGCACACAGTGACCCAGACAAACCACACTTTTTTTCTCCTCCTCCTTCTTCTAAAGGCTTTAAAAATGTGCTCTATCAAGCATTTACTTGTGGCACAGATAAGATTTATCTAACAAGACTGGGCTAAAATTAAAAAGAAAGATGAAATAGCACAAGCGGTGCTAATATGTGTTTTGAAGCGTACGAATCGGCCAGTGCAATGTCACAGCCCTGGGCTACATTTGCAAGTGGTCGAGCATCTCCTTTTTAAAAGGTTAACCTACAAAGAGCACACAAGCCCCTCTCTATGAATATGGGCAAACACCCAGGGAGCTCCACAACAATAAGAAAATAATGACATCAACCTGACCATGCTTAAGTACATAACATGCTGAAGGTTCACGGTTGTGTGGCCTGGAACAATAAAGGAAAAATAAAGAAGCCTGCTTGGTAGGCCCCAGCTGTTATTAGCCATGCTGTGAGATCAAGGGAAGGTATGATATGGGCTGCCATTTCAATTGAGACCAGGTTAATCTCTCAATTTGTGGAAAAGAAAAACTAAAAAAAAAATAAAAATAGGGAGAGAGAGAAAGCAGTCTTCACTCCGCAGTGCTACATATGGGAGAAATAACAATATCCCTATTTACATAATCTGTATTTAACCCTTTCCTAATAGAGACTTAATTTCCTAAGAGTCACAAACTGCAGATTTAATTTTCCTGCCCCCCAAAATGAAATATCAAACCTTTGTTAACCATTTCCCATTGGTGCTGCCATCGTTGGTGGCTGACATCCAATGCTGCCAGTGCTTACCCAGGGGGGACTGCTGGTTGCTGCTGGGAGATCAGAAATAGGTGGAAAGAGCAATGGATGCCACTGTTTTTCTGTCACTAATCTGTTTCTAGCACTGGATAAATAATTTAAAATTTGTGCTATAATTAACAGTCATGAAATTTGGCAAATGATACCAAGCTCTTTCACCAATGATCTCAACTAATATATTGAATTTTTCAAGTGAAGTGCTTTATAGGTGTAAATAGTCCTGTTTTGTGTGGCAGTAGTGTGTGAAGACAATGTGGGGACTTGCTCTCCTAACTAGTTTTGTTCTGTACTGATGAAAGCAGTGAGGGGAGTCCAGACTCCTCCAAGGTCGCCTGCCATCCTCCCTTGGGATCCAGGTCAAGGCAGGATTTCCAGCAGGTCCACTGAGGAAAGCTGCTTTCCTGCAGGCTTGGAAAACTGAAATGGAATCTCTTAAAGACTGTAATTTATGAAATAATAGCCTAGAGATACTGTATTATATTATACTTCTTTTTATGTGTAGTTTATGATGTGTAAGCCAGTGTGTGTGCACAGCCCACAAGGCTCCTGTAGACATTAAACTCCTCCTGAGTGCTGTCCTCTGCATCAGCCCTCTGGAGTCAGGGGAGATTACTCCCTCCTCAGGAGTGTCTCAGCATGATCACAGAAGATGAGTTAGGGGAAAAGGGACCCTGCAGTGAAGGCTGAGGCCAAGATGCTGCTGGGGACAGGGAGTAGGCAGGACTCTGGCCCTGAAAACCCAGTGCTTCAGAGGGAGCCAGGGGACTGTGTGCAGCTTGTCAGAATTTTAGAAAGTCACTGAGCTGCTGGTCTGAGAGCAAGCCTGAGGGAATGGACCTACCTTGTCAGGACACAGGAGGCAGGGAGAGAATTTTGCCCAGTTTTTCATTCCTTTTTCTCTGTTCTTTATTTTTTCGGAGTTTTCCTTCATTAGAAAAAGTTCACTGTTCTTGTCTCTGGTTCATGAAAAACTCTCTCTGGTGTTTACAAAGATAGTGCTGAGTTCTTGGGTTTTTTGAAGAGAAAGATGCAGCAGAGTCATCTCAAAGCTCTGCTGACTCAGTATCACAAATACTAAGACTGACTAAAAACTGATGCCTTATTTTCCAGGTATCCCAATGATTTGATCAGTTAAAATAGCTGAATGAAGCTGAACCAGGGCAGGGGACAAATAGGAAAGCTATGGCAAGACAGGAAACGTGTCCCTAAAAATCCAGGTGAGCAGAACAGCCACTGTGCAATCACTTCTCACTGAGTCACTGCTCTATCCTTTGCTGTCATCAAAAGGTTCATCCAACAGTAGTAGCTGTATTTATTATGTTTCTCAGATGCGCACACCTCAGGTTCTTATGACTTTATGTTATAACATTTCCTCATTAGTTTAATGACTTAATCGTCTAAATAAAGGAGGGAATATCAAAATTGGTTCCTGGAGGATACCTGGACAGGGTTAGTTTTATTTTATTAGTGTAACGATCATGCTTGGATATTTTTTATTTTAAAGACTATGCCTTTTAGGAAAACTGTCCAGGTAATATGAAATATATATTATTGCAGAGAAAGAGCTATACTGATAGAGTTGTAAAACTCTTTGCATTTTCTAACATAATATATATTTTTTAATTAATGGTCTGTTACAAAGTGGAGCTTAGCAGCATTTTCCTGAAACATTAACAGTGGCCAACTCCTTTGCATGAAAGTTTTTGGTACAGGTTATTTAGCATATTCATTTTTCCCGAGATCAGGGACCACATTAGAACCTAAAAATCTTTGTACCCTATTCATAGAGAAGTTGCGCTTTGTATATTTTTCTGCTACATTAAATTTTTTTGTGATTAAATACCAAAGTGCAAAGGACTTGAAAGCAGCCATTTGTTTCTATTTCTTTTTTAGTTTTACATGAATTCATTAAAAAGGTATTCCTGAAACTGTAAGGCCAAAGTGGTCAAACAGTGGTTAAAACCAAAATCCTCTCCTTAGGCTCCTGAGTACTCCTTTTTCAGAACTATTCAACCTGTGTCTTAGATCTTCCTTCCCTAGTAAATGTACTTCCCTTGTCTGTGGGCTCAGTAACTCACTTGTTCACTGAATTGACAGAACCAACTTAATCTTTGCCAGATTTATGCAGCACCTTGAGGAAAGACTGTGCTCATATCCATTGAGCTCTGTGTGGTTGGTGGCTACATTCCCTCCAGTGCCCATTGTGTCTGTTCCTCAGTGCTTTAAATTCAACACTTTCAGATTATAATGAAAAACTTCCAGATGTAGAGTTTAAATTTTCATTACATATGTTATCAGCAGGGAACATCACCGATTTCTAGTGCCTGAATGAGTTCTCTGTGTTACCTGTAATGTAAAAACCCCCAGCAATAACAGGGATATCACATCCTAATTAACCACGATGTTCTTGCACAGATAAAAATAAATCTATCACCTACTTCTTCCCTACTTAGTAACTCTTGCAGCAAGAAGATGTGGTCCCAAATAATGCGCCTGAATGTGCTGTCGTGGAAAGATGTGGCGTGGCTTCCTTTACAACATAAGGAGTCGGTTCTGGATCTTTATTATAAACTTATTTAGATTCATTAGAAAACATTTCTGTTGTTTTGTTGCCAAATAGTTCCTAGCACACACTAAATCATGTCTTATTTTATTCACACTGCACTTCACAGCAGTGCAGCCAGGTGTTAAATAATAGTAGAGTTACATCAGACAGCTTGGCCGTTCAGTTGGGAGAAGCATCCAAAAGTTCAGATACTTATCTGGAATCCTCCCAAAGGGTGATGGTCTGGAAACTGAGCTAAAAAAATATCACTAGAAGAGCTGCTTTGCAGAGCCATCCCCTTTTTCTGTTTGTAAGGTACCTTAAGGTACAGAGGTTTGAATACCTTAAAATAATTACATAATGTGTTATTTAATAAAAGGTACATGTGAAGCCAAAGATTCTAGACTTGCTGACTTTTGATACTGTTTAGTGTTTCCTGTTCCCATTAGAATCAGTAGTACCGAGAGGAAAATAATCAGTGAAGCGGCTTTTAAAAATATGTATCAGAAACTAGGAAAACACATATTCTTGTTTTTTAATAGTATCAGAAACTAGGAAAACAGATATTCTTGGTTTTTAATAGTTTATTAAATTCAATCTAATTTTAATAAATCAATTTTTATATTTTTGATGATTCTGAGCTCCTCATATATGCACATACATGATTTGAAAGGACAACAAACTGAAAGGAGAAGAGAGTAAAATTTTGGCAAGCACAGTGTTTTACTGACAACGACAAACAGGCTTTTATCTATCATTTCTGTACCTATGAGACTGAAAGACAAAGTTCTGGCTTTTCTGAACTTAGCAAAATCGAGGTTCTATTCGTAGAACCCCCCAGATACTTGCTGCTGAAATCCATTGCAGTTTTCCAGCACCTGTGTCCAGAACAGAACCCTGATATTCTGAGTATGGGCTTGGAGGTCTCCCGTCTGAATTTTCTTGTTATGAAGTTGTGTTCATGACCAAAGGGGCTACCACGTTAAACTCCTCAGCCTGTGGCTTTCAGGGGGGGAAATTTTGCTGGTGCAAGATTTCAGTCTAAAATACCCTGTTTCTATGTATAATATCTTTGAATATGCTCCAAGAATAAATGATGTATTTCTCATTTCCCTCTGGGAAAGATGGTTATTGTAGTGGTGAAAACAGGGCGATGGTTCCCCACCCCCCCATTTTCTCTTTGGACTTTATGTAAAAATAAGGTACTGTTGGAGCTGTATACAAGTGTGAGACCACCAGCTAATTTTGCATAGCCCACTGAACAGTTAGATGGGAATTGCTCTTCAGGGTGTTCTCTTTGACAATAAACAGAAGCCTCGAGTCTGTGTTTGGCTGCAGTTCAAAAAAATTACTAAGGAATCCTACACACTTATGTATATGAATACAAACAATTGCACATTCCCATACAGTAAGCTTGCAACCACAGTTATTAACATTTTAAAATGAGTAAATGCAAATAAAATGACTGAGTAATACATGTTATGTTAAGATCAGCTATATGAAAAGCAAAAGGATTAAAAGTTAATTTCATCCTTTTTAATTCAAGGGACATATAAATGGCATTCTGGGTAGAGTCAACTCCTCTTTTATCAGTCCTTTGATGCTGCTTTCTCACTGATTCAGTTGTTCAAATGCTACCTACATAATAAAATCCTGAGTTAATTTACTAAGATTTTACACCAGTGCAAATGAAAGAAGGGAAAGTGCTAAACAAGGCAATTAGCACTCTGTTTAGTGCACTCCCAAAATAAATGTAGGCAATTTACAATTTGGCAAATGGTACTCTATCCAGATCCAAGTCATTTCAGCCTAAGGGGCTGGTGTAGTTCATTAGGGGTGAAGGGAAAGGGTCTTTGTTTTGCTTTGCTTTTTAACTATATGTATATATATATGCATAGAAATACACACGTTGCTATTAAGGTTCACCCCATTTTACCATGCAGCAACAGATGTGACCCCTCCTGGGCTTATTAGGATTTCTGGTGGAAAAATGTCAGGCTCAGTGCTCACACTGGCCACATAAGTGACCTCATTTACGGTGATAATGCTCTTTCCAAAGTGAGGGATTCCAAAATTGGCAACTCACTGATAACCTCCTTTGTGGCTTTCTTGCCATGATGGTTTTTTGTGTACTTACATGTTTATTATCACTGGAGCTGTTCAGATCAGATCTGTGAACCTGGGAATGTCCTGAGTGAAATGATAAGATAAAGCACTCTGCAACTACAACTGACTCTCTTTTTAATTGACGGGAAGACTGCACTATGACTTCCATGTTTATTCTTGTAAGCTCCTTATTAATGCAAAAATAATAGCTGTTATTAATGCAGGATCACAGCCAGCATTAATATTTAAGATGTAAGAATGAAGGAGGTTAAATACGTGTTTATATTAGTTTTAAACAAAGAGCTTTGCAAAACAGTTAAGGCAAGTAATGATGACCACGTTCACAGAGAGTGTATGTGGTGTGAAATACCTGCTACATTCTGGGGTTTAAATACATATTCTTACTGGGATAAAGGTCTTTGATGAGTCTCCTGCCTCGTCATGCCATTGTCTCTCTGAACTGCTACTGCTTCTTACTACAGAGAATACAGATGAAGATTCTGAACAAAATATGTAATATGCTATGATATTAGCACTGATTTATTTTTTGTTTATTCAGTCTGTAGAGCTCTTTTATATGATAGATCATAAGGTAAAAGCATTCTTTTGTGCCCTCTAGCTGCTGGTTGCACAAATGAAAGAAAGAGGGAGAAAACAACCCTGTGATTATTAAATTCTCCTCATCTTTAGGGTTAAGTACCCTGGCTAATAAAGATCTCTCATGAGGATAAAGTTTCTTTCTTGGCAGTGTCACATCCATTTAAGTAAAAATCATCTGGATGCTTTCAGGGATTCAAGCTGTTACCTTTACATAAAGCATCTACACCAATTCTTTGTATTGTTTTTATCCTCTGAGAAAGCCTGACACTGCATTTCTTGGTTAAGCAAACCTCCCACTGAGGGCAGGCTGTGGGATTGGGCCCTTTTGTGCTGCAGAAATCTCTGCTTCACAAGAAGGAAAAAAAATATTTATATGTTCATGTAAAAATGCAAGAACTACTTAATATCATTAAACAAGCTGTTTCAGACAGTGACAGTTCAGCCTGATCTTGTGCTGAGCAATCATTAAGACCTTTGATTTCAGAGTTGTTTTTGTTAGCACCATGTTTGCTGCTGATCTTTACATCCTCATATCCCAAACTGCTTCGTTCTCTTTGGTAGGTTGTTCTAATAATACATTTATTAAGACAAATAACAAGTTTCTGTATTTTTACAGCTTATAAAAATTATTTTATTTTTTTTTTTTTAAATTGTACTCTAAACAACCTCATCACCCAACACTGATTGTATATACCTAAATTCTTTGCCAAATATTTTGGGCCAAAACACCACTGATGATCTCTCTGGGTTCTAGTTGGGTATGTGCAAATTTGGTTTTATGCAGGCTCACTTCATAGCAAAAGGGATCTAGTTTAGACAGTAAAAAGAACTTAATAACTTGTAGGCACAGTGAAGCACTGGCATGGATCGCCAGGGGAGGTGTCAAGTCTCTGTTGCTGCCGGTTTTCAACAAGAGGTCGGACAGACGTGTCAGGAAGAGTTCAGGTATCTGATCCTGCCCCGAGGCAGGTATGCAGCATGGATGAGCTTTGAGTCCTTTTCAGTTAGGTATTTTTATGATTCAGTGCTCCTGCACTTTGCAGGTGAAGCTCTGTGAATGCCTGAATTGCATTGCCATGGGTAGAGCTGTTCCTTCCCCTGAAGGCTGTGCCTACGTTTCGGAGACAGGGAATGATACTGATGCCCATCCCCTCCCACCCCGTGGAAGAGAAGGAGGTTGATCAGCCTCCAGGCAGTCTGTCAGCAGGCTGTCCTCGTCAGCCAGAAGTTTAGTGTACCTCTTCACCCCTGCTCATGATCTGTTTTGGTGGGCATTTTCCTTCTCAGAGTTGAACCTTACATAATACAGAGTGAAGTGGTCTTTGCTGAACTGTTCGTAATACAATAACACTCAAAACACATCTGAGTCTTATTCACATTTCAGAAATGAAAAGGGAAAAGCCCTTTCTCTTGGCATCAAACATTAGCTGTTATTTTTTGTTACATCCTTGTTATTTCATCAAAGTTGGGATTGCAGAGGAATACCTGTGATCTGTCTTTGTCCCTGTGATACATATGCATCTTTTCTATTCCTATCTGCAGACTAAATAATGCTAGGAAAGAACCAGGCAAGATAAAAAGGAGCATAACTTCTGAAGAAACTGTTTTGCTCTGCTTTGGATTTTCCCAATATTGTCAATTCTTTGTTTTGAATCCATTTTTTCGCTCTTAATGGAAGAAGAAATATACTCCAGCCAGTCTTGTGTTCCAGCTTCTTTACCTTTGTCTGCCTAACTCAGCTGGTATTTAATTGGTCAGCAATAGGAGGGAAGTCTCCTTTGAGGTAATGAATATTGACTGTTTATGTTGAAATGTCACTGTGAAAAGAAAGCCCAGCACCAAAGAGGCGGAACTCAGTGTGAGAGTTTCAGACACAAAGGAGACACCAGCAAAGCACAGGCATTGAAAAGCAAAGCAGCTGAAATTCAAAGAAAAGATGAAACAGAAATGGTCTACATGTGTGGGAATTTTAAGCTGTCAGTTGACAGGTGAAAAAGTCATTATTCCACCTGTTAGAACTAAGTGTAATTGCTTGTTTTTCCTAAAATAACACAGAGGCCGTGACTCATAAATTTTTTAATTGAAAATTCATTTAAACTTATTTGCTAATACTTTACTTTTTCTTTTGAGGTAAGTGGATTAAACTCATTAGCCAATTTTTCTACCTCAGACATGTGAGAAGGAAGGTACCACATTTTCTGTGTTGTATCGGGTATTAGATAATCAAATCTTTTATTCAGCCACTTGCTTTTTGTCGTAAAGCAACTTGAA